TTAATCACATTCACTCGGCGTTTCCATAATTGGTAACCATAAACACGTTGCAACACGTACGAGAGCACTTCTGTAATTCCTTTTATTGTTGTTCAACAGCGTGTTTCCGTTTGGTCGAGTACAGCAACAATATATACGTGGAAAACAATTCGGACGACACGTGCAATGCGGGCAAGTATATCGTATGTCAATGTTGAAACATGGGAGGAGGGGGGCCGGGGGAGAAAAAGAAGAAATCGGTAACCGAGATTCGTAGGATTCTTATCTTTCGTGATCGCTCATTACAACGTTCCGAGGTAATCAGCGAGGTTTCGAGATCCTGAGCGAATATCAGAGGTTGCCCGACATCGTCGACGAGCTCTCACACCTCTCGTCAACAGGACTTGTCCTCACCTCGAGATCCGGACGCTGACAAGGCTTAAAGCACGGTGGTGTGAACGCGGCATCGGATGAATCAGAAAGAACTCCCCCGAGTCGACTACACCTCGTGGCTTATCATCGAAACATCACTCTCCGATTTGTGCCCTCTCTCGTTTCACAGAGAGTGAATCTCCTCCTCTCCTTTCTACCGGTTTCCTCTCCCTGAGGTGAAACCAATCGAGAACCACGGGGAGGTGGGTCGGGAGGAAGGGAGAAGCTTCCACGAGGTAGGAGGGGTTTCTCAAAGATCCTCCTACACGCGCACTCCAACGCCAGGCCAACTTGCAAACGCGAGATGCTAACTACATCCTCTTCCTCCGCGTCCCGTGCCAAAAGGCGGGGTCTTCGAGGTCGGGGCAAACACTCGGGGGTAGCTCGGTACATCTTCAGGGACGAGGCTCGTCTCTCGCGTACCTCGGCGCTAAGCCATCCAGAGTTAATTGATCGAAATAAGGTGTTGATACCGTGATACGTGCCTTCTCGCACGCTGTTGATAAGATTTGTTATTTTCTCATGCCTCATTCTTCGGCGGCAATCTTCTTTCCTCGCTTTCGGAAACTACTTCATTACGTAACTATATATCTCATTGTACTAACCAAACAAGTGATTACCGATCGAATTACTTGCGGATCTTTGTCATTCTTTGGTCTTCAAACTTTCAGATTAGTAAGTTACGTCATCGTTTTTTTTTTTTCTTAAAAGAGATTGAAACATGTTTCGAAAGAGAACTTAAAAAATGATTTTATTTCTTAATGAAAGTTTCGTCGTTCTGTGATACATTGCGTTACACTGATTGGAAGATTGTTGTTAATACTTACACAGACACTTATTCACAAGTTGTATAGTATTTTCAATTCCTGTAATTACTCGGTAGTCATGCATCGAGGTCTGATACAAATTCATAATATATATGTATATATAAATATCATATGTCAGGATATGTATGAATAATGTATAAATTTGGTTTGAGTTGTCAGCACTATTAAATAATGTCTGCTCAGATTGTATTTATTTGCATGTGTATCTAAATCCATATCTGAATTCTTAAAAATATTTGATTAAAAAGTAGTCAAGTAACGCATTTGGAGAAATGGAAACATTTTTTTTTT